CCCCAATATTCTGTGGACATAGAACTACTACGTATTTTTGGAATCAAATTAAGTTGATTGACACTAGATATCCTAAGACTTAGGATATCTTAGAAAATGTGTTAATTTAAAAAAAAAATGATTTTTATAGAGGTATATTGTGTTCAATTAATTTATTTTGATATGAAAGATACGTAGTAGTTCTATGTCCACAGAATATTGGAAAATCCAGTACAACATTTTTGTTAATGCACACACAAATAAAATACTCTAAAGGTATGTTGTTAGTTCACAGAAAGCATGTTCACAAACCTTACCCAAATACAAAAAATCTACATACATTTTTATTTTTTGATCGCTCATTTTACAGTGTCATCGAAAAATAAAAACTGCGTCATTTACCTTAGAAATGTGGATGGATTACATACACCTTATAATTTTACACATCCAATTATCATCGTTTAGCAGTTCTAAGATAACTTGACAGTTTTTTTTTTCGATTATACTGTACTTTATTCCCAATTCCAAAAAAAAAATATTTATTTCCTAGTAAATATCATTTAAAAAACGGCGTCAAGTTGGCTTTGAAATGACGATCGATGACATTCCTCATATAATTTTACATATAAAATGACAGCGATCTTAACTTCCAAGTCATCTCTGCCCCCTTTTTTCGATTGTATGTATAATGAACTTATTTACTGGATCTCCATATCAATGTATGAGTTTGACTGTTGTTTAATTCAATATGATTGAAAAAAACACGGCGTCAGCGATGGCTATGAAATGAAGATCGCTGTCATTTTATTCGTAAAGTTATATGAGGAATGTCATCGATTGTCATTTCCAAGCTAACTGAACGCCGTTTTTTCGACCATATGGTATGTGTATCAATATAATGTTTTAAACATGTAGAAAATGGAATTGGATTTTGGCAAAATTCACTGAATTAAAATGAATTTGGTTTAAATCAAAAAGGTTAAAAGAGGTAACTCAACAATCTATATGGTTTAAATACAAGAAATGTATATATTAATACCTCTAAATACACCTTAATACCATATATTCGAAAAAAAAACGGCGTCGGAGTTGACATGGAAATAATCACTGTTATTTTATATCTAAAATATATGGTGATTTCTTGATTCTTGGTGACAATGATGTATTTTCTTTAAAGTTTTAGTTTTTAAAATTGTATAAGTTCAAATGAGTGTGATTCTAACCTTCAAAAAGACCTGTGATTTTACTAGGAAAGATCCTGTCTTTAATTCTATACACGGGACACTGTATCAAATAAGAAAGTGCACGCTATAGGGTTCTCGTAACCAGAACTTTGTATCTATTCTGGTTTACAAGATTCCTGCAGTGTGCATCCTTATATAGATATTAACACATCAAAATGGTCTAGGGAAAAAACTTAAATTCTTGTGTTCTCTGAGCTCCTTATGTTGGAAAGTAAAATTATAGAATAAAATAAAAATGTCAACAGAATGTCTTTGTTTATCCTAAAAATAAAAACATTTAATTCTAATCAGCGATTTTATACAGGGGCCTCAACAAGAAACAATTTAATATTAGAAGAAAAACAATAAAAACAAAATCCAATACAGGATGAGTCTTAAATAACTGCAAATATTTTCAGGGCTGATAGATATCTATAAAAGAAGCATATTTTCTCTTTACCGTTTTTCAGATAAGTCCATAATAAATGAGTTATTCAAGTTTGAAAATTAAAAAAAAATATATTTTTAAAAAAAATTGAGAATTTTTTCTGGTATTTGCATCCCTTTTAGTGCCGTCACCATGGCAATATCAGAGATTAAGAAATTATACTGTGGGAAAATTTGCGGTAAACATGTAGTTCTAAAAAGTTTTCTAAAATATACAGGAAAATTTTAAAGAAAATGCACGATTTACAACATCTTTTTTTTTCGAAAAGAAAGAACCTCACGTTCCTGGGCTCGAAATATACCACCCCTAAAAATGGTTGCACTTATTGAAGACTCTCCTTTTGGTCAATTTGTTGCCGCTCCTATCTTAAACATTTTTCCAGTTCTGCTCTAATTTGGAACACCATTGCACGATTCATAACAGTCTTTGTAACATAATCCATACGTGCCATAGGATTCAAGTCAGAAGATTGGGCAGGCAACGGCAACCGGGTAATATTGTGGTGATTCAAAAAAGTCTCACGGTTCTCGCTACATGAGGGCGCGAATAGGTCTGTCAACAAAATTTAGTTTTCTACTGCAAATTATAGATTTGTGCATACTGAAAGGCCGTACAAAGTTTGAAAACAAATGCTCATATACTTTTCGAGTTATTCGTAATTCAATTTGAATCCTTTCGTCGAGGCGGGAAAACGCTGCCAGGAGAGCTACCGTGGGTGTGACGTCACATGCTCGCTAATCACGCGTAGCGCTTTACCAGAGACATAACAGACGGATCCGTTGCACCCTTTTCGTGTATCCGTGTCTAGATTTAATTAGATTAGTTACATAGTTGTAGTCTAGTTTTATCTGTACTACAAGTTACGCCACTGTATTCAGAATTATTTGTACCAATTCTGTTTTACGCTTAGTCATAAACGACCCTTCAATTATTATTAGTCGATGGAAAGTCCTTATTGTAAAATTATATAGCCTTTGTTCAGATACGTTTGTATTTTACGCAGACAAAGGATCTACTAGGTACAGTTTTAACACTTAATCACACTTTTTAATTCAATCCAGTTCCAAGATGTCGCTTTTTACTCTACTTTTCAACACGCACTTACTTTTTACCTCTCTAAGTTCCAGACAGTTCAGAGTCGGCAATTTTTATATCAAATTTTACTTTTAAAACTAATTGTTTAAGTTTTCCTTATATATTAAATAAAGTATTTAATTAAGAATAATAAAGTGTGTGAAAAAACAATCAACATAAGCAAAGCGACAATTTTGATCCTCAACATTGACATTAGAGGTCTACTAGAGCTTGTCGGACGGTAATACTGATACTTCCTGATATGTTAATATTTGATCTCTTCAGTGTGTTTAGCAATTTTTATTAGGTCAGTTGTGAGTGCGTACTGAGTTTTAAACTTAAGATGGTGGCTAGAAAATGGTGTTTTGTGCCTGGATGCGTAAGCACATCGATTAAGACTCCAACTAAAGTATTTGTAAGCGTTCCAAAGGAAATAACAATAAGAAAAAAATGGTTCGCGGCAGTCGGACGAGATATTAAAGACGTTTCTTCAGCATCGACTATTTACTGTTGCGAGGACCATTTTAATGTAAGTTTGTGTAGACCTGTGTTGCGGCATAAAATAGTATATTGTTTTGCTAGGAGTAAAAATGATACTTTTTGCGGCGAGGCTGTAGTTTTAGCTTTAACACCACTGGATTCAACTTGGTTATAATTAGTATTCATCGCGAGAAAGTCCAATACCATATTGACATCTACTTGCGGTAAATTATGTGAATCTCCTTTCTGGAAACCCTCCTCCATATTTAGCAACAAAAACAACTTCTTTTAAGGTATTCAACAACAAAAAAAATTGGCGCCGGGAGGCACGTATAGCCGCCCATACTAAAATATGTTAATATCTCGAAAACTGCGACTTTGACTAATTTTGATGTTATTACAAATTTTGTTGCAAATATTATTCCTAATCTTAATTTGAAAACCGCGTTTCGCTAGCTACTGTAATTTTGGAGTTACGATTTTTTTTTAAATTTTTATCCCCCTCCCATACCCCCTTACCAACCCCCCACCCCTACCAAAAACTAATGGCCAGATTCTCGGGTGCCACAGTATTTTTGTGCCAAATTTGGTTAAAATCGGTTCAGCGGTTTTTGAGTTATCGTGTTACAGACGGACAGACAGACACCATGAAAATATTTTGTATTTAGGTCATTTATGACCCAGGTAACTCATTTTGAGTGAAATTAAAAAAAACTTTATTTTTGCCGATCCTAATAGCCTACCATACCTATTGGTATGGTCGGCTGATAATAATGTAACTGCTGAAAATGTCGACGGTACTTCAATACCTTGTATAGGGAGTGTCACAGTCAAACTGAATGACGGTCTTGCCGTCGCAAGCGGAGCAGCGTGCGGCAGGCATGTGACGTCAGGCCAATGAGAGCGCGTTTATTTAATTTGAACGGAGCGCATAACTCCAAGAGTCTCTCTTGTCAAAGGAGTTTATTTTTTTGAAAAAAAAAGTTATTTAATTGGTATTATAATACTAAAACATTAATTTTTTACCACTTTTAGTGCAAATTTTTTTTAGTGAACAGATCTATTATCCTGCAATAGAATAAATTCTTCCCCAATCCACCTCATGGATATTTTCCAGACGACAAGCATTTCCTAACAGTCTTCATAACCTTATTCTTCTGGAATCTGGTCTCAAACCAAACCTGGATTCGCCGGTGAAGAGCACACTATCCCAGTTTTTGTTCAAACCCAAATAACGTGATCCTCGGCCCATTTAAAGGTTGATTCTTACTATACCTTCCGTTTCCATCCAATATTCGTTCCGTATTTTTATTGTATTGACGCTATACGTAAGCTTCCGTTCCGTATCAGTTCCATACTTTTTATTGTGCAATTATTTATATCATTACGAAAGTTTTATTTTAAAAATTTGTATCTTTTGAAAAATGTTAATTAAGAGGTGAAAGAATAAGTAATTATTATCAAAATTTTAACAAAGCTGATACAAATGTGACTTGACAACGCTGTTCACGATACGCTTCAGTCCGTCCGCCAACAAAAATGTATGGAAGGAAAGGATATGGAACGGAAGGGAAACGGAACGGGTAGTGTGCATTGTCCTATTCATTTACAGTACGCCTGTCCGTTCTGTAACTACGGGGTATCCGTGAGAGGGGGGAAACGATATTCTCTCGATGTTTTTCGTAAAAAATTAGACGACGCGTCCCATCAATAAAAATTCGACAATGCTTTTTGTCCGCATTCCTTTCATAGACACAGATCCAGCAGACGTACTGTACACGATATAATATTTTATGTAAACGGAAGGAAGCTGATATGGAAGGTATAGTGAGAATCAACCTTTAATCTCCTTCCGCGGTTTAATCGTGCCAACACAGGAACTCTAACGGGTCGGACATGCAGTCTATCTTCATACAATCTGTCCCTAACAGTTTGAGTTCTGACATCCACTTGCTGAACGCTATTTCTGCGCTTCAGGTGGTGCTCATTTCTTATTTGAGAAGCTGTCAGGTGTGGAGTCCGAAGTGCTTGAATCCGGATGAATCTGTTACAAGCTCAGTTACCCTTCTAGAGCCAAAATGTCTTTCCCTCACTTCACCGGTCTCCCTATATCATTACCACAAACAACCAATGCTACTTCTGGTCGAGCTTACTGCCGGCTGCCACGTCTCTTATATTCCCACCCGCCTCTTATCATATCTATGGCTCACAACTGAGTTTCACGGTCAAGATGATGCCTTTGCATTATTAATTACAACTACTTACAACTTTAAACACACAGACACCATAATATCAAAATAAACTGCGTCGAACAAATCTTTATTCTACAAAAAATGATCCAAATACTTAGGAATTTTATCAAGTTTACAAGTAAAGGTAAGAAGCGACAACAACTAAGAAAAAAACAGAACCAGAACATCAGCCTATGACATACTGCATACCAATCTTGGATCTTAAAATTCTTTTATTTACAAATACAGCAGTTTCACCTTTCTCTCCTAGACCATTTCGACGTGTTTATTTCCAATGTTGATCTAAAATGTTGTTTGTCTGAACAAAGTAATCATTTTTGAGGGCAGAGAATTATTGCATAAAAACAAAATTATTTTAAAATAACTTAAAACACGAAAAAATACTAAAATAGGCGGCCTATTAAATTCCGATCTTGTACCCACGAAATAACAAATTCAAACGAATAGTTCATATTGAACTAGAAGCAAACTAATCTCAACAAAAATGCACAAAACAAGACAATATTAAAACAGAGGATTCTTCTAGTTCAGTATGTTATTTTTTTCACAAAACTAAGCATAATCAAGTTAAAACAGACTACTACTGTATACTGCAAAGTTGCTTACGCAGTTCACTCTCGGCTTCGTCCACGTCGTCTGCTGTGGCATGACTAGAACCGTCGGCAGATGGCACCACCTTGGGTAAATACGGCTTGTAATCCAGACCGGAACGTTCGTAGAACAGGATGTAAGCGGAACTGGTGTCGATTTTCGGTATTTTAGCGTTGTTATAGGTACATCTGAAATAAAATAACAAATATATTAGGGGTTCAGAAGTGAACTGGATCAAGTTCTAGAAGATAATTATTGAGAAAATGAGAGTTAAAGTTTTTTAATGTTACTTAATTAAAATAAAACAAGCTGGAGAAGAAAACTTAACACAATCCTTTATTATATTTTAAACTGTATAATTGCAAACTGTGGTCATTTTTAAGAATGTCTATACTTTTTTTGACTTGAACTATTTTATCTCTGAAAATATTTGAAATTTTATATAAAAATTGGTTCATAGGTACATACTTCTTCGTCATTAAAGGATTTATTGACTTTACATTGTCTATTAATAGTGTTTTCTTCGATTTTTATAAAAAATATCGTCGGTAAAATGTGATAAACTGTGATAAACACACTTCACTGAGAATATCTTTCGATATCAAAAATATGAATTTCTCGAAAAATTCAATATTTCCAATTTTTCGAAAAATTCGATAGGCTTGTTTTCTTTCCATTCAAATTTTTTAAAAAACTCATCCATTTACTTTTAGGGCATTGCAATTTTCAGCAATCGTGTAACTTTTTTATTTATAAACATTTTCACATACTCTCTGTGAAGAAAATATAGCAGAAATATTAAGAAAGTTTTTGAAAAAAAAATACAATCAGTTATTTCTAATTGATTTCGAGATATCGATTTTTGAATTCAGAGGCTTAATAGCGCGACCACTGTCGAACACCAGCTCAATTATTATTTTTACCAAAAGTTAGAAACACTTGTACTTAAAAATTTACAAGCTATAGGAAAAATTACAACGACTCGTAAATAAAGTATCCCGATAAACAAATAAACTATCACGATAAACAAATAAAGTATGATAAAATTTGTTGGATTAAATATTTACCTAAAACCATTGGCAAGATTGCCCATACTGCCTGTACTGCTACTAGTGGACCGCCTACCAGTGTAAGGCGAATTCGACGGTTTGCTTGACACTCCATTTCCAGATGTCCTGTCGCTGTTTTCCGACCCGTTGCCGCTGTCAAAACCGTTGCCGGACGATCCTATAGAAGTGTCTACCGTAGCCAAAGGCGCCGTACGTTCTGAATCTGTGGATCCCGTACTTGCTACAAATATATTATCTATTCAGACATTATTTACAGTTAAAAAATTTATTTTGTTTTAAACAGCAATGCACTTCCCAGCCAAAAATTACGCTATCCTAAAATTTTTGCCAATTTTTATGTTTAAAAGCTTTCTTATTTTTCATTCGATTTTCATAATTTTTTTACCAGTTTGTAGATCGATTTATTGTGTTTTTTCAAATATATTATAAGAATATTTCTAGTAAGGAACATAAATTGAAGCCAAATCTTTGAGATGGAGTGCATTGGAAATTGTTTTGCGATTACCGTATATTGTTTCTTATCACAATTTCAAAACACCCTGTGGGCAAAAGTGGATTGTTTTGTTTACAAATTATTTGTTGAAATTATATTACCACAGAAACGCGTTTTTTTGGATTTTGGGACAGGATTTTTAGAAAATCCTACTATATTTTCATGTTTTTTTTTATTTTCTCTAAAACGGTATGGAAATTTGGAAAAATATAAACGGTATTAACCATTTTAGAACAAGCAAACATTTTATAAAGAATGCATTTTTCTCATAATGTGAATAATAAAGTGTTCCTTCTCGTAAAGACAATCTGAAGACATACTGTAAAACAACAAACAACTTATAAAAAGAATTATCTAGGTCTCTGAATAGAGAGATATATTTTTTAGAAACATTTTGTAACAAACAAAGATGAAAATCCTCAATAAACTTTTGTTTACCTTTTCTTTGTTGCGATTGATTCTCTGGTGGATTTTTTCTTCTCCCCAGTGGCGTACAACCAGAAGACGAGCCTTTGCTGCTATTTAACGACAATGTAGACTTCGAAACGTCACACTCTGCCATTACTTCTCGACAAGAGCTGTCATTATAACAGTACCAGTTTCCATTGGGGTTGCACGCATACGAAATATAGTGTCCACCATTAAGTAGACCAGAATGACTCTGAAATATATTTCATTATATTATTTTTTCTTAGAACTAACCGTCTATAGTTCATATCAAATAAAATTTTAGTCACGTGATTATGCTAGACCGGTACGGCGTTGCCCACTTTTACATATTTTCTTTTAATCAAAATATTTTAGGAAACAAAAATAAATTAGTCATTTTAAGAAAAAATCGCAGTCAAATCAATCGCAATTAAAATCGTTGCGATTGAATCGCAGTTTGCGATTTGTTGCTCATCTCTAATATTTGCTATTGGATTGGGTTTAAAGAGTTTACAAGAGGAGCCATAAAATATGTGTTCAAAAATTTCTCGGTCGTTTACATTAGGTTTGTTCCAAACCGCCGCAGTACCGTCACCGAACGATCACGCTCGTGCGCAGTAATTCAAATGTGTTCCAACCAAGATTTGACGGTTATCGGTCGATCCTATTTGCGTATCAACCTACCTTGAGATTGTTTAGTTACGATTTCAGAACGGTAATTTCGGTACATGGTACAAATTGAGAACTGTTTGGGTTGACTGGCGCATTAAAGCATATTGGCAGGGATTATCGATTTTTAACAGCTGATTCTGGTCGGGCGTCCGCCTGATGCTTCTGTCTTGGTTATTTTTTACGAATTCGAATGCGTGTGGGTTATACTTTTGCTTGTGAGTTTGTGTGGAGTAAATCGTTCGGAGGTTTTAATTAATTTTTTATTTATAAAATAATGTTCAAAGATTCTACCACTGCAATGAAATAACAGGAAACTACGCATAACAGGATCATAAAAGAGAGGATAGGTAAGTGAGTTAGTGAGTATACAGTTGAAACAACACTTACCAACAATTACTGGATTCTGATTCTCCATTTCAAGAATAATAATTATTATTATTGCAAATTGCAAACAAAAATAATAGGGTTATGTTATGAAATTCTACATTTCAAGAATAATAATTATTATTATTGCAAATTGCAAACAAAAATAATAGGGTTATGTTATGAAATTCTAAACAAAAACAAAAAAAACGATCGATACAGGCACGCTTGACACTTTTGACAGTCCCAAAAACAATCCACAAAGCGTTCCAACGTTGATGCTTTTTGCACCGTCACGAAACTATTCGAAGTCCGCGCATGCTAACAAAGTGCAAGAAAACCGATTCGAGTACGATTTCGAAACGATCCCGAAATGCTGGTTGGAACAAACCTATTATTATCGTTTTTAACGGTGCCTAACTAGATACAGAAAATATAAATAATAAACATTTTTCAAAGTGGTTATAAAAATTTCGGCGAACAACGGTGAAATTGGAGCACCCCAGAAGTGAAGTCTGTGGTTGGTTCACAAAGAACCAACCACAGACTCATGACTATTTATCATAACCTGATAATTGGATTATTGAAATAATGGAATTTTCCCATCACTACTAATCAATTGACTTACCACAACAGCATATAACTGGTATTTTAAATCGAAGGGATCTTGTCCAGGCAGCAGTTTATGTTCGTGATAATCTTTGAGATGTTCATCGATAATGGGCGTTTTAAGAAGACTGGTTGAAATTAACCTAGACCTAACTTTATTAACCCTCTCAGGTCTTAGTTTGGGCGTGCTGGTTAGACCCTGTAAAAAATATTATTAGTTAGTGTTGTAAAAAATTAACTGCGTAAAAATTATAACATACAATGTTATCTACTTCATCTTTTCCACTAGAATTACAACTTTTGTTTTCTTCTTGTCCGCATTCCAACAACTTGCACTGTTCACCGTTGCATACATTTCCACTTGATGTAGAAGCATCTTCGTTATGCTTAATTTCCTTTTGATCTTCGCCCATTGTATTATCCATGATTAAAATTGAGTTTTCCTGAGTACTGCTTCTGGTACTAGACATTGACGCCTCACTTACGTCTTCCAAAATTTTCTCATCTGTAAGGAAGAAATAAAATATAAAGAAATAAACAAAACTAATTTATTAGAAATAATTAAATTTCTAATAATATTAAATTTCTAATAAATAAAAATTCGTTTGAAACCTAGAGAGCACTTTTGCTTATCTTATACCATGGACCATGGTTATAAAAAGACTCCTCCACAAATGGCACACAACCTTCTTCAGCAAGGGTCGGGAGCCTACCTTTAGACCCAATAAGCGACATAAGCTACCGTTTAGTCTACCCGGCCGGGATGAACCAGGCGGGCTAGACGATCCTCTGAGAGTAGGTCTTAGCGGAGCAGAAGCACGGAGATACCTCCGACTGCTCCACGAAGCACTTGCTCCAGGGAAGCAAAAGCGAAAACACTCCTCCGAAAAGGGGAGAGTAAAGAAACCAAGAAACAACCTGACTCATCTCCAACAAAGGGCAAGAGAGGGAGCGAGAACCTCTCACCTCTTCTCCGGCAGGGAGAGAAAAAAGCCAGGATGGAAAGCCGACCAACACCGGGAGGCAAACAGGGACGTATCACCAGCTTTGCCGCTATTGCTGGACAAGTGAAAATGGCGGTGCTGCTAAAGGATTTCCTAGAGGTTGCTCTGACCACCGACCAGCAAACGTCTCTAGAAGAGGCTATACTGGACGAAGTAGTGGCGATCGGATCGCAACACAACGATCTACAAAATATGGGTCAGCTGCGTTTTGCGGGGATACACTTTCGGGTGGGCATGAACCTCATAGATTGTGTATCTCAAGAATTGGCTAATTGGTTGGTGGAAATCGCACCTAAGCTTAAAAATTGGCAAGAGCCGGAACTGGTCGCAGTGAAGGGAGAAAACATCCCTAAAGGGGCGGCCATAACGGTCTTTCTGCCTAGGAGCAAGGGGAAAGACACCACCTACCTGCTGAGCCTTATCCAAGGTCAGAACTTCAATGTAAGGGGGGAGGGTCATGGTCCGGTCGTCACAATAGGAATTGACCTCAAATCCAAGGAGGCAATAGAGAAAGAGGGACATATCCTCTATTATAGATACGGGACAACACCGGTATCAGGTCTAAGGAGAGACCAAGTTAAAGAGTTGGAGAAAATGGAGACAGATCCTCCAGCCTCCACCTCACGGGTTCCTCAGCCGGAGGCAAGCTCCTCGACTGTGAAGAGCGGCACGGAGATCCAAACTCCAACCATGGAAGGGTGTGTACTCGGAAGAAGAACTGTTGTCAGAGGAGGATGGGAAATACCCTGTCCCCTCTACAATACGGATATGATGGGTTATAGATTGTGTGATGACTCAAGGAAGGGGGGCACAATAGATCTTTAAGGTCGCAGTTATTAACCCCCCCCCCTCTTACTCATTCTACATTCTATAAAAAGACAGCACGCTGTCGCATCAAGTAAAGTTTATGACGGTAGTCACGGAAATGTTGTCAGTTATCAATTTTTCAATTTATATACAAATGTATAAAATAAAAAAGTATTAAATCCAGATTTCAGAATACGTACCATGTAGCATCTCATCTTCTTTTCTCATTTTTTCTTCCATCAACTGACGATGCCTAAGTATAGTTTCCTGAGGCACTGAGGCAAGATAAGCTGTAGGATCGAAGTTTTTAAATGGGAAATTGACAGCCTTTTGCGTTTTCACCCACTTATTATTAACATAATCGAACCGTTTCAAATGTACAATCTGAAATAAAATGGAGAAAAAACAAACCAATAACATGTCTTTACTTAAAATTTCTGGTGTAATGTATCCGATGCCCGTAGATGATAACCGTTTATTCCTTTGATTAGCCGCCCATACCAGCAAGGGATTTTTAAGCGATCAGTCCCGCATAGAGGTGGGAATTCTAGTTCCTCCAGAGGAATAGTTCCGTGAACTAGGTCTTTAGTGCACATTAGTTCCCGACAAACACTGACATCCCCGCTGCTTGCTCATGGGTTCGTTGTAAAAAATGTCTATACCTATGTGGCGTATTCATCTCTCCAAAAAATCCTATATATGTGTATTTCGCCACTGCAAGAAAAATCTACAAAATAAAATAGTTATTTTTTGTAAAAACTTTTTTTCACACTTTTTTTTCAGGTTGTTTATCGTTTGGATTAACGCAGAAGTGTTTAAAAAAAAATAACTATTTTATTTTATAGATTTTTCTTGCAGGGGCGAAATACCCATATAGGATTTTTTTGGAGAGGTTCGATATAAGTCAGAACTATTCATAGTATGATTTGTATAATTTTTATTATGCACGAAATATTATGAGAGGTGCAATTGCCTATATTAAAAACATATAGGTAAGTTTTATTGCAGACAGAAACAAAAAATTAAAAAACGAACTCAAATCAGAGTTTAAAAAACTATATCACAAATTAATTGGAGCAGATAATAATACTGACACTAAAAATATTTAATACTGACACATGTAGGTGAAGCTAAATGATAAATATGAAGGTAAAATGTTCACTCTTATTTTACATTGTCCTCACTTTAAGCTCTTTATTTATGTTTAAAACGTTAGAATATCTACTTCGTTTTATAAAATATTTCTTAATTTGAGGGACCTAAAGTGAAACCATTGCCATAAAATATTCAAAGAACAAACTAAAAATTAAAAACATATCCACGACAATTTCCAAGGCCGGATCTGTCGTTGTCGCCTTGTATTAAAACTCGGAACTGCGGACCGAATAGATTCTCGTGAACTAGCCTTTTAATTAGTTCTTCTAGTCTCGGTCCTTAAGTCCAGGACCGGTAACATACGGCAGGTACTTTCCACTCCCACCTAGCATTGGTGTACAATCGCGCTGGCCGTCTGTGAACTAGGCTTTTATTAAGTTCCTCTAATAAAGGTACGCACACACAGAACGAGTCGTACGCACCGCATAAATGGTTCAATTGGAAAGTTATGTGAATTGTCATTGTCAAATGTTTTTGACCAATCACAAGCGATTCGTATTATACTGTTGCGGACCCGTGTGAACTCGGCCTAACCTAATTAACTAATATGTCCCACCCCCCATATGACCTTAATATCGCATTAAAGAATAGACACCGTAATGATTCATTCGAACGTTCGAGAACAATCGAGTTCCACTGGAATGGAGGAGTGCCTACAAGAACATTCTAAACCTTCTCTATGCACCTAATGATCTAACATCTAATGGACTATTCGAGAACTGTTTAGCTGTGGGTATATAAGCCGACGCCTGAGGCTTGAGGAGGACAGAAACAAATAGACGAGTACAGTTGCCGCGCTAAATTCAAAATATATTCTTTCTAGATAGTTATAAATAGTTTGTAAATAGTTCTTTAAGTCTTTTATCATTATTGTTTTTGTTACTTAGTGTAGAATAAATTGTGTTTAAATAAATTGTGACTTTCTATCCACACGGAACTGAAGAAAAACGTAACAATACGAAAAACGCAGGCATGAGAATGCAATAAATTTAAAAATTACAGATATTTCTAACTCATTATCAGTGTTTAAATTCAACCAATAAAATTAATATTGTATCGTCGGATATCGGATACATGAGACTCCAGGTTTACACCACTTACAAGTATAGGAGGTAACCTCCAAATCTGTAACTTTTTCGTAGCAGGTTGTTTATCGTTACATCTACTACAATGATACTTGGCTTCGAGCCGTTCTTCCGAGGTAAAGGCCCTCAAACAGTAATCAAGATCTATCGGTTCAGTATGAAGTTTAAGACACCTTGCTACGGATTCATCTTCTTGCCATAACTACAATAACAGACATAGAAATAAGAAGAAAAAAATATTTATCATCAAAGCATTTCTTGCCTTCTCTCTACTAGTTTGATATCGCAAATGTAGAGCTGTGGGATCCCAGTCGATAGCGATATGCATAGTCTGAGCCCCGGTAGAACCACACCTATGCAACAGAGGTTCGTCTGAACAAGGTAGAGGGCAACCCCGACAAAATTTCGTCCAATGACAGATAGCGCAAATTTGTCCGCCAGCCAAGACCGCCTTTAATGTGAACGGGAATTCGTAACCTAAGGAATCATCACTGAAAGGAAAATATATTGTTATACGCTAATTCACTAGTCCCATTTTTGCACGTACCAGTCTGTAGCGTGGTTAGTTTGATCGCTTTGTGGTAGAGGGCTGAGCAGTCTGGTAACTTGGCCCCAAACTAGATCGTATAGATCTCTGCAAGTGCTGCTAGAATTGCATCCCAATAATAGGGGCATTCCAAATAGACTTGGCTTGCTTTTTTGTTGGGATAGGAAGTAAGTTTCTTGTATGACGCATTTCCTGTGTACTGCTATAAGGTATGACGGTGGTCTATGTAGGTTAGAAGGATCAAAGGCACCTGTAACATTATATATAGTAAATATATTTTTTTTTCAATAAATATTTTAATTAAACTCTTTAACCTTTCTATAATAAAATCTTAAGTTAAAAAAATAGCGTTGAGCATTTTAGACAAAGAAAACTACTATTTTTTAAGTGATATATCGAATCTTAAATTACATAAAGGCAATGGAAGTTCGAAATTCTTTCAGTATCAATGTAATTTGATATTTGCACATGGTGTTCTGTAATGTATTTTTACAAAATTCTACTAGTAATCTACTACTACCATATTATTTGTATTAAAAAAATGGGCTTATTTATGACACTGTTGTCATATTGGAAAAAGTTATACGAGAAATACTATACAATACCTGTCGTGTTCGAAGAGCTATTGGAATGTATCGATATAGTCGACCTTTTGAATGGAATGCTTTTATTCAACGATGGTTCCTTCTTAGTCTGAAAAGCAAAATAACAAGCAGTCTTAGCATGGAATTTTCATTCCTCTAAAATCGCGTTCAGTAAACATAAAATGCAACAGTGACTATATCGACACTTTTATAACAAAATCTGACTAAATACTAAGACATACCCAATATTCTATACTAGAAGAGAAAACAAAATAAGAAAATGTATTTTTCTCTCTTAGAATATTCACAGAAGACAATACACATATATACATAAACAAACAACAAATTTCTAAAACAGAAAACAAAAATAAATCACAAATTCTCATTAAGTTTTTATAATTCTATAAAATGTTATAGATAACCAATTTTTTTTGAAAAATCTCTAGAAACAAAACCTAAGATTTAAGGAATTCTTTTTAAAAGTGTAATTGATATATTTATAGTTTTTCAATATTATAGCAAGCTCTATTATTTCTAAACAATGCGATTTAATAAATGTATTACCTTTTCAAATATACTGGACACTATCTAGATAGATTTCAGTAAAATAATGATAGAATAAATTACAAATAATCTAATTAATAAGATAAGAAAGCAGTTTTAGTCTCATTGATATTAAGGCATAATAAATATGTAATCTCTAAAGCTGCGTTTATATTGCAAAAATAGAATGGTGTAATTATATTCTCTAAATATTTAGCTTATTGTAATGTATTATTTATTACTTTGGGCTAGGAAAGCAAAAAATACATTGATGTCTCTGAAACATGGATTCTACTACTGTAAATAATCCATGAATTCTGTCGGCGTCATATACTGAATTTCGTCATTCCCTGGAATGCCTAGTCATTTTACGTATTGTCGGAAAACAGTATAACTTTTCAATTTTTGCACCGTTTGTCTGCGGATATCAGGCGTACCCTCTAATTTACCATATTTCCGGTTTTTGTCCATGATAGACATATATTTAACATTTAAATTTATTTTACAACAGAATTTAAAAAAAAAATTTGAAACGTAGTGGAATTGAGACAGAGAGATAAATAGACATAAATAGAGAGATATAGACATAGAGAGAGAGATACATAGTACTGAGTACAATATCTGCTGTCTACAGTTCAGTACGTGTCAAATTGATTTTCATGTTTGTTTTGTAATTCTCTAGATGTATTTTGTGTATATTCATATACATTAATTTTTTACGCTCCTGAGAAAGACATAAACCATGTCGAAATATAGAGCTTTAGAATAAATTGAGTTTGATTTAGAACAGACCGCTTCCCGAGAATATATCACTGTTATTAAATAGTTTAGTTAATTATGGCGTTTTACTGGAATATTCCGTCATTACAGAGAACGACTGAGATCTACAGTCAAACGACGAACCAACTGAAGAGTTACGCTGTTGCCGGCAGTACGTGAATTGACTAAGCATTTCAAGGAATGGCAAAGTTCACTGCTCGACGTCGACATATCGATATTTTTCTAACTATGAATTGCATCAATGGTTTCGAAAAAACAGGGCCATCTATTTTAAATCTTTGACACCTAGCCGCGGAGCTTAACATCCATTCGTGAAAACGCTGTAAATACAAGTAAAAGACCATAAGCAATTTTACAGTTGATTTCCTGTCAACAAATAAAGAACTGAGATTGTAGTGGTAATAAAAAAAGTACAGGTAGTTTCTACATAAGTATACTAAGTTTAAAACTAGTATACTAAGTTTTATCTGCATTTACGATTTTCTTTGGAAAGTTGTTTAAGCTCTGTCCACTAACGTGACGTCAGACAAACAAAATAATACATGAACGTCAATAATAATTGCGGTGTAAAAAGTAAATTAACGGATCATTTAATGGGGATGAACATAAACGACTAACTACACTAGGCCTGGGCCGTGCATACCTTAAAGCATAGAATGTTGGGCATGCAAATGGCCGAACCACTCCTTACCTCTGGGCTGCGGGCCAGGGGGCTGTCGGTGGCGCCCGTCGAGGCCTCTGGGAATATTAAAGAAATTCATATTAGCAAATTTTAAAGATAAACTACAATTTTTTTTTTGTTTAATATATTTCTTTTAATAAATCTAAAAATTAAAATAAAAGAAAACATGAAAGCCAAAGACACGTCTATAAGTCTCTTCAACAAGATTTTAATTATCGTTTATAATATCTGGTACAATTAAGCACTTTTACTACACCTAAAATACCTGTCTCAATATCTCCCTCTCCTTCAGCCTGTTCCTTCTCTCCCTTTTCCTGGTTATTGAAGTCTGCAGGAAGTTCGTAAGCGTAAAGTTCACAGGCTGTTGCTGGATTGATGCGATTATCATCAGGCAACAGCGCTCGAACCTGACAGAAATATTTCATATAACCAAATAGACCTCTTCACGCGAGTAAATAAGTTACCACAGTTGGGTTTTAAAATTATACTAAGGGCTGGCAAAGATTAGTCTTGGGTCGAGATTTCCGTATGTAAGAAGAGTACAATGCGTTTATAATGTACTGAACAAAGAGAGGACAGTAAACACGTTGCCAAACGTATGAAATAAACCGAGAAACTGTGCACATCGCTAAGAGACGTGGAAGCGGATATAGTAGATTTGTTGCAGTTGACTGGTCGACTCAATCAATACCTCTGTCAGTACTTAAAGTTCTAGAGAAAGGTGTACGTCATGCGTTCAGCTTCACGATTTAATTACGTCTCGTGATACTTGATTTGTTTATTTATTAACGAGTCGTTGTAATTTTCCCTATAGCTTGAATTTTTTTAAGTGCAAGCTAGAAACACTTGCATTTTTGCTAAAAATAAGTGGAATTGAGTGGGTGTTCGATAGTGGTCGCGCAATTAGAACTCTGAATTCAAAAATCGATATCTCGAAATCTATTAGAAATAATATATTGTAGTTTTTTCAAGAACTTTGTTAATATCTTTGCTGTATGTTCTTTGTAGACAGTATGTGAAAATCTTTATCAATAAAAAAATTACACGATTGCTGAAAATTACTATGCTCTAAAAGTAAACGGATGGACTGTTTGCAATTTTTGAATGGAAGAAACAACCTTATCGAATTTTTCTTATATAAACATATTGTAAAATATCCGACCTTGAAAATAAAAAAAAGTTTCAATATCTAAAGTGGTTCTTGAGTTATGGCCTGTTATGTGTTAAAAACTTGAGTTTTTAAATTATCGCGATTACTGACGTTTTCTCGTTATAAAAAAATGACACCCTAACGATATCCTTATAATTCCATTTCAGATGCTCAGAAACATGTCTAATGATTTTATCTAGTTATCTCTTGAAAAAAGTCTTTTAAAAATAAGCGGTTTGCGATCGTGATTTTACTTTACTTGATAGGGAAAGGCGTATCGGCAACGCCGCAACAGCACACCGTCGCATTTCTCTAACTCCGACTTAATAAGATCCCTATGCGATTTACTTCCACACATGTAAATGCCGACCCAAAAGTAACAGTTGCCAGCACTGAATTATTTGACTTTTTAACCTCTTTTTAAATTAAAATACCCATCTTTTATACGACGGTAAACAAAGTGATATTTTAGCGAAAGTTTGAAATGCCCTGTAAAATGGTTTAACAAAACAAGGAATCTAAAAACCACTTTATCATCAAGCTGCATCTATTCCCGGTCAGTTTGTTTTCTGATTCATCCCATAGCTTTTTTCGTTGAAGAAACTCGTTTTTAAAGCATACTTTTGCTTTTGGGACTCATCAACACACGAATGAAATAGTGTTTATTGGTTTTGTAACTTCAAGGTCGTATAATGTAGTAGTTTAGGCTTTCGCGGCCATCGTTTGAAGAATTTTGGTTTTTCGGGTTATTAGGCCGTCGTCGGTTAGAATTGCTTCCTAACGTTTCGCTAGCACGAGTGGCTAGCATCTAGTGATGGGTTGTTATTTAACTATCTGTTATTTTATAACAATTATTTAGAAATAACATAACGCAACCGTTACTGCTTTTAAAAAATAACAGATATAAAATAACGACACGCAGAGATCGAGTGTTCGTGAAACGAAGTCGGCGCTCTGCACCGCCACGAAATTCGATGCTGCTCGAAGCAATTCCAAAAAACAACTAGTATGGATGGAAAACCTATTATTTCGACAACCATCGATACAGGCGGCGAGATACAACGGACAACGGAGTGGGGTATGCGCTACGGCGCGGCGCGTCGTGTTGGGCTGACAACAGCTTAAAAATAATAGGATATAAAAGAAGCAGCTTTTTTGAAACAGTTGCGGGCATAACGCCTGGCTGTCGAGATAACAGGAGTGGGAAAGGAGCGCTGCTGCATCGGTCGATTGTCGATGGAGGCTCGCAACGGGTTGGAGAATAACGCATCAGTTGTTTTAGCTATGTTGTTTTTTTACCTGTTACGAGCATAACAGAACGGCGTTCGAGATAATCGGAGGTTTGAAACAGGTTGGAGAATAACGCATCAGTTGTTTTAGATACATATTGTTTTTCAACCTGTTACGAGCATAACGGGCGGAGGTCGAGATATTATGGCGCTGTATGTTTCAATACTTTGTTATTAAGTTTCAATATTTAAGTATTTATTTATTCTGAAAAATTTTCAGAATAATATTTTAAGATTTTTTAAAAATGTATACAGGGTGTTTTGAAAAATCTGGTCATTGATTAATCACGATCCTGCTTAAAGCCCTTGACGTAAAAAGCTGATTTTTGGAAAACGGATTGACTTTAGGGTGTAGAGGTGCGATAAGAAGGGATTTTTCGAAACTCAAATTCTAAGGGGGTGAAACCACCCTCAAATATTAGAATATTTTTTATTTAAAAACTGGTGAGTTTTTCGAAAAAACTCTTAAACACGTATATTTTATTTTGTTGTTTTACATATTTTGAGATTTTTACAAAATATATACAGGGTGTTTCATAAAATATGACCACTGAGTAATCACTATTCTGCTTAAACTGCTTGACGTTTAAAGCTGATTTTTGGTAAACGGATTGACTGTGGGGTGTAGAGGTGCGATAAGGAGGGGTTTCTCGAATCTCAAATTCCAAGAGGGTGAAAACGCCCCTCAAATATTACAATATTTATTATTTAAAAAACGGTTAGTCTTTCGGGAAAACGATTGGACACGCATAATTTATTTTGTTTTTTTACATATTTTGAAATTTTTTAAAAAATAATACAGGGTGTTCCAAAAAGTTGAGTAATTGATTAACCACGATTCTGCTTAAACTGCTCGACGTTTAAAGCATATTTTTGGCAAATGTGAGAAAATTTTATCCAGTTTGTATGTTAATGGAAATTCTTGCTTTGCTTTATCATCACCATTACAAATTAATAATTCGATGCGAACGAAGTCGCGGGTACAACTTAACAAGTATAGCTAGAGACGTGAGAAATATAAAATAAGAGACGCCCCCCGATGCGCAGTGGACATCCCACAAATTTGCTTCAATCAGATTTTTCGTAGCGTAACTGCATCTCTCTTCCGCCGAATGCGTTCTCTCTCTATCGTGTGCGCGACCGGTGCTATCCCCAAGTCTCTTCCTATATTTGTCAAACTGTACATGCTAGTTTAAGTGTAAAATTAATTCGAACTCTAGTGTGTAGTTGGTTTACTTATGAAGAATATACTACACATTTTCTTATATTGCTATTTTTTGACCGCAAATGGTAAAATCATAACGAAGAGCTTCTCGCCCGTCGAGTGAGATGCACCCTGTACACTGCTACGCAATTCAGAATCTACGCGGATCGAGGGGTAGGGCGTAGGTAGATCGGAATTTATAGATATAGACGAGTGGCGGCATTTTGGCTTTTTTATATCGCAATTTGTAAACAGCGCTTATTTGTAAACAACCCCCGTTTTTAGAGAGGTATTTTAGATAACAATCGATATTTAGAAATGTTATGACACCCTGGAAATACTACCACCGAGCACGTCATTGTTGCAACTGCGTTAATACGCCTGGCGGTGACCGCCTCATATTCTTTCAGATATTTAGCAATAAAATAAAGAAACCTATTATTTTTAAGCTGTTATTTTAAGCTGTTTTTTATAAATAACTATAACAGTTTCAACTGTTATCTAAAAATAACAGTTTTGCCCATCACTACTAGCATCTTCAGAGGTGTGTTTGCTCCGACTGCTCACACTAGACTGACACCCAAGTCATTGCCACAACATCTGGATATCATCATCGTCTGGTCAGGGAAGCTGTTGAAATTCACAAACTTCCAAATAATTTCAACAGGAAGGAAGAAACTTTCTACCTTAACAGAATTTGGCATCCAGCTATATCTAGGACCAAAGTAGCAGCACAGAGAAGTAGACCAGTTCCGGAAGAACTACCACCCGAACAAGCCACGCCCCCTCCGCCGACGCATAAATATGCGCTACGCCCGACGCGGAGGCATCAGTCTAGAGTGAGCAGTCGGAGCAAACACACCTCTGCAGATGCTAGCCACTCGTGCTAGCGAAACGTTAGGAAGCAATTCTAACCGACGATGGTCTAATAACCCGAAAAACCAAAATTCTTCAAGGTCGTAGTTTGATTGAATACTGTTTGCTCCTAGAAACACTAGCAGAAATGGTTTTCATTCCAGAAATTGTATTGGCTATTGTTGTCTTAATTGAAAATGAAAGTGATCAACTTCTGGACTTAAAACCATCCCTTTAATATGACTTTAGAGACTATATTAAAAAAAAATAAACACTATTTGATAAGTGTGTTGGTGATGACCAAAAGAAAAGGTTTACTTTTAATGCTAAGATTGTTATCAATCGTTACTGACTTCTTCAAAAGCGAATATCTCTAAAAAAATGAAGCTATTGAGATGAACCCAAAAACAAACTATCGAGAAAAAATACACCTTGATGATAAAGTGATTCTTAAATTCCTGACTTTGTTAAACAATTCCACAGGGTGTTTCAAACTTCGCCAAAATAACATTTTGTTCTCCCTTGTAAAATAGGAATACGGATATTCTTCTAAAATATATTGAACATCAAAATCCATGAAAATTTTCAGATGTCAGTGTATTATAAATTCGCCGGTCAGTGTATTATAAATAACTTACTTGGCAAGTATCTACTTCAGCTAATAGTAATCTCTTCGCATCAACGCCACATAGCTCACTTAGCTGTTCCTTAAGATCTCCATATTTAGCTTCAGAGTTTAGCCTCAGACCATACTTGATAGGGCACTTCCCGTTAAGTCTAACCACTAAAAGATATGAAAACTGTATTAATTTTATTATTATTTATTTAAAATGTATTCAATGAAACTCTAGTATTAACAAGTTGTAAAAATTAAATATTATTACCTAAAATTTGACATAGCGTATAGCTTTCCATAGGCAATGGTAGACTCAAGTGGTTAAATGGGTCAAATTTGACAGATTCGTGACCGCATGTCTTGCACGTCACCTACAGAATACAAAAACACGAACGTTATTTCACAGCAGAAATTCAATATTTTATGATATTTACTTTGCTTTTTAATTGACCATGAAACAAATCGGTAATAATAGAATGTTCCCTTTTGAGGTGGTACTGCCATTCCTCATCAGCCACAACCTCGTCAGGTCTCCCGTCGCTGTCCTTGAGTTCTATATACTGTTTTTTTGGTACCCTGTTTAAATCCTCGTGGAGAGCATCTAATAACCATGCCAAAAGTTCCTAAAATATTTATGTTGAATAGTTTGTTTATTTTCGATATAATTTGAAAAATAACGTGATATTTGAACATAGTAGTTCTAATGTCACAATTAAATTGAGAATATTTGAATACGGCTCTGTGTACGCTACTACATTGTAGTAAAAATATATTTCTGTTATTAAGATTTAATTTTTAAAATCTGATTTTTTCCTTGCTTTGCATTCTTTGAGCTGTCCCTGTCTGAACAATACATGACTTACTTGAGCATCTTGCTGCCCTCCCCCACTTAAATGTTGAGCATACTTTGACACGCAATATCTTAGCTTCAATGGTGCAACGCTTCTTGTAGATCCGGCCCATAGTTCCCTGAAATTTACAGAATTTAAATTAGAAAAAACAAAGATTCAACAGAAACTGTTTTATTGTATTTTTTTCCAGAAAAAAACTATGATTAGCTTAAAAAATAGTTTCTCCAAATTGATCATTTCAGTTAAATAACTATCTAGTCAACCTGTTTATTTTTTGTCAATAATGACACGTATTGACTATTTCCATTCCAAATATCTTGAAAATGGTTTACATCCAAATGTAGATGTTTACTTCAGAAATTATTTGGAAAAATACGAAATAAAAATAAAACTTCTACACTTTGTATCTCTCAAACGAAGAATTGTAGGACATAAATTTAAACGAGTTTTTTTTATTTTCAACCGCAGAATATTCTGCCAAAGTTTCCCGAATACAATTCAGACCACTCTGTAAATCAAAACCATTAACATATCAATAACATCGAAACCATTATCAACTGCACATTTGCACATATTAACGACTGATGTTAAAAAATCATCAAATATCACCTGGCTAAAATCGATATTTTTGAAGCTTCGATAAAAGCGCCCAACAGTAGTACCGTATGATCGAAAAAAAAAGCGACGTCCGGTTGGCTGGGAATTACGATCGATGACATTTCCCATATAAATTTACATACCGGGTGCATCTCAAAAGTGGCTCATCCCTATAACTTTTTAATTTTTTCAGATAAAACAACGAGATTTGGTATGTTAGAATATGACGTAAATTGAGATTGACACATTCAATTGTTTTTTTGTCACTTCCGGTTTCACCGGAAATGACTACAACTTTCGATTTGTAAATGACACCCTTGGTATTTTTTTACTTTATTCGATAGAAAATGACACTCTGAATAGAATGACATATCATATGTCAACTTTTGACATTTTCGCATATGGTTTAATTGAAATTATAACATGCGGTTCATAACAATAATTTGACTCGAAATACCAAGTGTGTGGTATCAAATTATTCGTAAAAAATGCTTTTTCAAAATATGCTAATGAGCCACCCTCGTTCCATTTGAAAAAATTGAGATATCATTAAAAATACGATTTCGACATCTTTTAACCAGCCAAGGCAAGACACTAAAAACATTAGACGATCAAATCTATTTTTCCAAGGCTCCTTGATTAAAACTTAGTATTTTTAACACAGTCATGGCACTCTAGATTGAGATTTAAAATACAATTTGTTTTTGAGCAAATATAGACTGTCATTTCCAATCTATAAAAAGTCTAATCTAATAAAGTAAACATTGCTTTTTATCTGAAAAAATAAAAAAGTTATAGGGGTGAGCCACTTTTGAGACGCACCCGGTATAAAATGACAGTAATCTTCATTTCGTAGCCATCGCTGACGCCGTTTTTTTTTCGATCATGCGGTATAATGCGATATATCGGTTATGACAAAGTGGTTCGGAGATGGTCCACATACCTCCCTATTTATGAACAAAAAATGTGCTTATAGTAAACGCCACGAATGTTTGGGAGTGATTCATCGGTCGCTACCATGTGAACTAATCTGTTCAAGGTCACAAAAAACTTAATTCCAGTGCCGTGGTGTTTCAAGTCATATAATAATCAATATATAATCTGTTGTAGTTTGTTGTTTTAACTGTCAAAGTCTTGTCAAAACATATATTTGGTTATAAATATAAACTGGAATGCCCCATTGGTCACACTGCAAGCACACCAATGGACTGACGCACAAAAACGAATCAATCAAAGAAACGCGATATAGTATCGTATTTGTCTCAATCACGCTAACATTTTAGAATAAGTAGGAGGAGCGCAGGCAGATGATTAGACCGGGCCTTTATAACCTACGTCTGCGGTAAATATTTACGTTTTTAATGTAAAAATGATAGCGCGCGTGTCGATTCTAACTTCATCAAGCGATGAATCACTCCCAAACATTCGTGGCGTTTACTTTACCTGCATAACTCCGCATATTTTTTTGCTACAGTCCCTTTAGTACTATGAGGATTATTGCAGTTCAATTCAGACAACTGATTATCTTGCTGAAAATACATGGTGAGCGGTCTGGTGTTTGAAACAGCTTGTACAGCGGCGTTCATGAAACAGGTGTTTCCCAGATTGTGAAGACCAGTTGCGCCTGCAAAAAAATTGTAAAAAAACGGAACATTTTTTTTAGAAAAAAAATACCTGGAGGTAGACATATCGTCGGTCTTCGTTCTACTAAAGCCGTTTCATTTCCACCACTGGCCGCTAGCTGTCCAAGTTCTTCAGGCCACGTGAGGTCTTTATTCCTGACTTCCAACAGTATTTGGTCAGCGTCCCTAAATTACCACATACTTAGTGTTCTATAAGCATTAATGCTAATTTTACCCTTAACATTAACCCAAAGAAATTTACCTTAAAAAAATTAATTTACCACTTAAAGAAATGCTGTTCATACTTCCCAAATTTGTGTTAAGAATACTTTGAATGTCATCAACATACATAAAGTTTTACTTTATGTCATCTAAAAAATATAATCTTACTTTATTCCTAGATCTTGAAGTTGTGCTCTTTCGTCCTCCAGCAAGAAAGGTTGTTGGTGATCCCTCAACAGCCACAATCGGGCATCTTCGATTTTTATTCCTAGATGCTCGCAAAGGAAGTCGGTTACTTGCTGGATGGTGGCCAAACGAGAAAATGCGGCAACATGGGAAAGATTACGTCGAATCGAAGACACTGGCGAAGCTGGGGCTAAGCCGGCGGTAGTCAGTGCGCCATATCTACAATAAACACTTGTTATTTAATATAAAATATATAATAACTGAGAAATATATTGATAGAACAATAATTATCGGCATACCGATAACTGAAATATATCGATAGGTAAAATCCATTATAGACCATCCCTAATAACAACAATATACTAACCCTCCGACAACACTACCCCACGTCGATGCCATACTGACAGGCTGTTGTACTTGATGTCTCAAAATCCTCAAATTCAGCGGGTACAGCTCTAGTTCTACCTCAGATCTTCCTGGTGGTTTAATAACCTAAAAAAATAGTGTTGTTTTAAAATTCATAATCCTGTTAAAGTTTAAGTTGGTATTACTTGACGGGGTAAAGGCAATGGACCTCCATACCACATAGATAAAGCCTTCCATAGAGAATCAGGTACTAATTCAAAATCTCTATGCTGTGCTAAGGGAGTCTCTCTTTTTAAACGACCACCTGTAAAAAAATGATACAAAAATAAATACAAGTAATGTAAAGTAAAAAAAATATTACAACATACCTTCTCCCGTTAAAGTGGGTACTTTAAAAGTACTTTCGGCGACTAAGCTACTATTATCAATAGGTCCTGGAGGACCTAGGCCTTTTTTGGAGGCGGTACCTGAACTGCTAGATACTCCAGAACTTGAAGCAATGCTGCAACTGAAAAGAATATTTTAAATACACCAACGTTTGATTTCACTCAAAAGATGATTCAAGGTGATTCATTCTTTCTGAAAGAATCACTTTGAATCTTTGAATCTTTTTGAAAGGAATGAGGAGGTACTCAGGCGGTTACATCACGAGAGATGAACGACGCGAGATGCTCAGACTTGTCATTGAGAGCAAAAAGGAGGACAAAAGATCTGTGAGAAGAAGGCAGAACTCGTGACTTGATCTGCGTCGTTACACGAAAAGTAAAGTAAAGATTTCAGTTGTCTCCTTTTTGCAGCCAGGGCTAATCTGGAAGGGGCCTACTTTATTTACGCGGAATCCGAACCGCGGTCCTCGGCCATATCATGGTCAATGGCCTACCGACTTGGCAAGCGTCTAAATCGAGTCTTACTCACGAGATATCCGATCTCATCGGGCCTCGAACCGGCGTGAATAAACAGTGTGTGTCAATAGATTTTACACTTTTGCCTTTATTGGACAACACCACGATACAGAGTTTTGAACCGGTCACCCGTCCATCCACTAGTATCGCCTTACGTCGCTTAACTTCGGTGTTCTAATGGGAACCGGTGTTTCGACGCAGCTGGGCCGTTGCCCTCGTGACTTAAAGATCTGCGTCGTTACACGAGATTGGATTTCAGACGTGTTACATTCTGTTACAGTCCCACTTCTGATTTACAAGTAAGGGGTAAAGCAAACACCAACTCTGAAGCATGCTAGTTAACCCAAGGAAATTTTTCTAATATTTGTGCCATATTTAGTACATTTTTAAAATGTAATCACGTAAGTAATTATTTAAGGAATATTTAATGTCAGACACAAAATATACATTTTTTGTAATACCCAAAATTATTGCTTAGTATAATAATTATTCAGTTCATTTTCAATAAACGTTTACAATGTTTACGTGTAGTTTTGGCTGAATTATTTTAAATTTTAGTAAATATCAACCTTGAATCGTCAGCTTTCGCTGAATGAACTGTACATGCGCTTGTTGACTTACCTGTCACCCCTACTTAACAAATCTCCCATGGATTCCATGCTGTTTGAATTAAACTCGTTACTGTTTGATGTGCAATCAGTAGCGTTGCTTATTAGGCTCTCGTCGCACACAATGCCCTCTTCTATCATGCTTCTGGACTCGATACGGCATTGACAGTGGTCGGAGTTTGTTCTACAACATATTAGAAATTAAAATAAATAAAACAGATATTTTTTTATAATTCGCCATTTGCAAGTACCTTGGTGCGGACGTATAATTAACCCACTGCTGCCACCAATCGGAGGAAATCAGGTACCAAAACTGACCAACGTAATATCCCCGACGTTCTTCTCGTTCTAACCAACCCATCACTACAAATAAAAATAACAGTGTTAATTAACAGGCAAATCCTCAAAAAAAAATACAAAAAATTACCTATTTCGTATTCGTTGTGCCTGCAGTGTGGTTTCAAACCTAATGACACATGACACACTTGAAACAATAATTCTAATAATGGGGCTACGAGGCTCTTATCTTCCACGGCCCACACGAGAAAATCCTCTTGGGTTAATCCACCCCTGCTATCAACCTGTTATGGAAAGAATTATTAATGTACCACCTCTGTTGTTTGGGTTGTTTGCCACATACAACACGGAGTATTGTAGCTAAACGGTTAGATTTTTACAAATTGTAAGATTTGGGTTCGTTGACGGACTATTAGAACTACAATTTAAAAATATTTTTACAAGCTACAGTGTCCCAAATAAGTAAAAAATATTATAGTTGTATTTTTTTAGATGGAACAACCTGTATATTATTCTATTTTTAGATTCTACAATTGAAATAAAGGCAAATTTGATTTATCACACTTAAACCTTACCGTTTTTGAAATATTTTCAATTTTGTAAAATTGCAGTAAAAAAATTTAAAACTTCGTTTGTTTCTCCAAGGGTATCAACGTTTTTAATACTAAATATTTACTGAAGTTTATTTATTGATCAGATATTGTATTGCAATAATAAAAATAATACTACCTTATACAGAGTGTATAAAAATTTATATTAAATAACTACTAGCTTTAAACGGCAATAACTTGGTTAATTTAAATAAAACACTCTGTATATTTTACGAGAATCAGATGCATAATTTAAATGTCTTACACCAATTTTTACCTATCTCTTCAAGTTTTCATAGAAAATGCATTTTGTTTTAATTTAGACCTTATTTATCAATATACCCAAGGAATATTTTTATGTTATCGTACATTATTATTATTTTATCATACATTTTAGATTTTTTTTAAAGCAATAAAATGTACAGGTGCTAAAATCGATAATATAGCAAGCGCTTTTGTTTACAAAAAGAAAACTATTTAAATCTTTGTAAGAAAGTAAACCAATTAAATATACCACCATTATTTCCGCCCAAAAATTAGTTCATTACATACTTAATTGTTTTAATTATTATAAATAAAATGTAACACCCAATCAAGTGGCCAACCAACTCCTTCTAAATGGCAAATTCAACTCCAAACGCAGAAAACCAAAATCAAACGCCTAATACCAACTGAAAACACCAACTTTCAGAAATCATTTACCATGAAAGAGTTGAACAATGGTATAAATACCATGAAGAATGGAAAAGCCGCTGGTATTGACGATATATGCGTGGAACAGATCAAAAATTTCGGTCCTGGAACGAAAAAATGGATACTTAAACTTTTCAACGTATGTCGCGAAACCTTTCAAATTCCAAAACTGTGGCGGAAGTCAAAAATAGTAGCTCTCCTTAAACCCGGAAAAGATCCAGAGTCTCCGAAAAGCTACTGACCCATATCCCTCCTTTGCCATCTGTTTAAGCTCTACGAAAGACCTCTAATCCTCTACAGAATAGAGAAGACCGTCGATTCAAAGCTGATTCCACAACAGGCAGGATTCAGACCTGGAAAGTCCTGCACCAGTCAAATCCTCGCATTGACAGAACATATCGAGGAGGGTTTTGAGAATAAACACATCACAGGGCTGACCCTAGTCGACCTAAGTTCCGCCTATGACACGGTAAACCACAAGGTATTACTGCATAAAGCCAATGAGACCTTGAAAAATTACCACCTAGTCAAGATACTCGAATCCTTGCTCCAAAACAGGCAGTTTTCGTGACGCTCGAGGGGGCAAAAGAGTCGATGGCGAAACCAGAAGAATGGGTTGGCACAAAGGGAGCGTGCTGGCACCAATTCTATTCAACATATATACAAATGACCAACCTATTCCAGATAACACTAGAACCTTTGCATATGCAAATGACCTAGCAATAACAGTTGAAGGCAAAGGGTTTGAAGATATCGAGGAGAACTAGAAAGCGCCTTAAAAACAATGTCAACCTATTACAAAAAATTCTTTAAAACCCAACCCCACCAAAACTAAAGTGAGTGCATTCCTTAATTCGAGACAGGCGACCCGCAGACTTAATGTTACATGGGACGGGACACTACTAGAACACACAGATAAGCCTACCTATCTTGGCGTCGTGCTGGACAGAACATTGACTTACAAATATCACTGCGAAAAAAACACGCAAAAATGTAGAAGCACGAAATTCCCTTATAAGGAAGCTGACCAATAGTAAATGGGGAGCCAAACCTACCGTGGTCAGAACTTCTGCTCAAGCTCTGTGTTTTTCAACTGCAGAATATGCCTGCCCAGTGTGGTGTAGATCAGTCCATGCAAAAAATGTGAACATCAGTCTGAATGAAACATGCAGAATAGTGACAGGTTGTATGAAACCCAGGTTGTTAGATTTACGCAGAAAAGCTCATGAACATACTGAGAAGTTAAACAAACCTTTGATGCTCGTCACTCAATTTTTGGCCAAGAGTGCGGCACAGGTAGACTTAAATCCAGACGCCGTTTCCTAAGTCACCCCCTGGATGAACCTCTCTCCCACTACCCCCTTAGAGAGGACCCACCAAATGGTGTTTCTAGCGACTGGAAAACCTGGAGAATGCTCAATCGAATCAGAACTGAGGTGGCCCCAGTAAAATCCAATTTGATCAAATGGGGTTTGCTGGACAGAAATGACGACAAATGCGACTGCGGCGCCTTTCATGACATGGAACATCTTCTTCAATGTTCTGCGTGCCCCCACAGATGTACCCTCGATGACCTATGGCTGGCTAAACGGGAAGCATTGGACGTAGCCCATTACTGGGTTAATAAACTATAATATAATCCGGATACGAAAAAGTAAAGTAAAGTAAGTCTAAATAAAACTGGATTTGAATCAGAAATCAATATTTTGAGTTTCAAATTTACCTTTATTGCAATTGTAGAATATAAAAATGTAATAATATAATATGCAGGGTGTTCTACTTAAACAAATACAATTATAATATTTTTTACTTATTTGGGACACTCTGTATCTTGTAAAAATATTTTTAAATTGTAGCTCTAATAGTCCTTCAACGAACCCAAAACTTACAATTTGCAAAAATCTAATCGTTTAGCTACAATATTTCGTGTCGTATGTGGTGAACAACCCTGTATAGTCTGCCTCATGAACCAGGAAAGATTTCGACATACAAAAAATGACGAAAAATACAATTGACCTGTGATTTAAAATGACAGACACAACTGTCACTGTCAATCCGAGTCAGCTAGTAACAACATATGAAAAACTTACTTTATTATAAAGAGATTCCAAAGCTTTATTGTGATTCGGATCCGATTCAAAGTTTGTGCTGTGCTGATCCAGGTAGAATTGAGGAGCGTAGGTTAATTTGTTTTCATTTGATATTAATTGCAAAGTTTGCTTCATATTTTCCAATTCGTCGGCGTTCAGGTAAAGGTCTCTGTCCATATCGAATATTTTAAAACAAACTGAAAAGGGTAATTCATTAGTTGCTATTGGTTAAAGGGCGAAAAAAAAGTTAACACACAAATTCAATATACAGGGTGGTCCGACTGTATTCCGGAAACTTCGGCAGCATATTCTGCAGATAAAAATAAGTAAAAAAGCTCGTATAAATGTATGTCCTAAGATGCTTAGTTTCGGAGATATAGGGTGTAGAAGTTTCATTTTTATTTCAATTTTTTCCAAATAATTTCTGAAGTAACGTCAATATTTGGATGAAAATGGGCACCTGGGAGTTTTTTGACATGAAAAATTGGATTTTGATGTCAATATTACTCTTAGTTGCAGAGGGCGCCACCTACATATTTTTTAACTGGTTTGAAGAGTAATAACTTTTCGTCTGTACCTGTATAAAGCTACCGAGTTAAAAAAATTACATTTACGATGTTTTTTACGCAAAAAATGTCTCTCGGTAAAAATCGCTACGAGTAATGGTTCTCGTGATATTTAGAATCTAAATTATCAATACCTGTCATCATTGACATAAATTAAACATGTTGACAAAGACTAGACGAGACAAAATCATAAATTTGAAGTGTTTTTGTGCCAAAACTTCAACAGACACTGTTTTATCATCATTTTTTCGCAGAAAAATTATGATTAATTTAATTAATCAGTCAAATAACTATCTATTCAATATGTTTATTTTTTGTCAATAATGACAGGTACTGACTATTACCACAGATTATACAGATTATAAACTTATCGTCAAAAGCATTGTTTTTGGTTCCAATTTTCGGAGTCGCGCACTAGTTAGGTTACTACTTTGCGCACATATCACGCCCACTTATGGCCTCTAAAATTGTGCACAGCGCCTGACAGGCCCAGTTATTACGCTGTTTAAACGCGAGTTTATTTTTGCGCACAGGAAATTTTACTCGTTTGCTCATCGTCATAAAAAACAATTTTCGTACCACGAATTAGGGACAAGATTTTTATCTATATACATATAGTATACCTAATCTGTGCTATTACCATTCTAAATATCTTGAGACCGATTGTTCATAGCGTCTTTTACCAATAGACATTTTTTTACGTAAAAAATCATGGAAATGTATATTTTTTCAGTCAGTAGTTTTATACAGGTAAGTACGAAAAGTTATTATTCTTCAAAACAGTTAAAACACATGTAGGTGGCGCCTCCTACAAATAATAGTCATATTGACATGAAAATCAAATTTCTCATGTCAAAAAGCTCTCAGACACCAATTTTCATCCAAATATTGACGTTACTTCAAAAATTATTTGGAAAAAATTGAAATAAAAATGAAACTTCTACACTCTGTATTTCCGAAACTTCGCATTTTAGGACATACATTTATACGAACTTTTTTACTTATTTTTATCTGCAGAATATGCTGCCGAAGTTTCCGGAATACAGTTCGGACCACCCTGTATTTTGTTCTAGTGCATGGATTTTAATGATTTTTTAAGCAATTTGTTGCTAAACTTTTTGACTTTTTAGCTCCTTTTCAAAGTCCCCATCTGTTTATTATACGAGGGTAAACAAAATGATATTTTGTTTACCTGTGGTATGGTTTAATAAATAAGACATTTAAAAATCATTTTATTATCAAGGCAAATTTTCTCTCGATAGTTTGCTTTTTGGTTCGTCTCGATAACTTTTTTTTGTTGGAGATATTCGATTTTGAAGAGGAGAGTTACGATTTACAGCAAATTTTAGCATTAAAATGATGCCTTTGCTTTTTGTCCTCATCAACACACTTATGAAATATAGCATTGTTTTTCTAATGTCACTATCATAGAAAACACATATTATTTATGTTTGTTTGCAGTTACTCTAACAGAGTTGGTTTTAAGTCCAGAAGTTGATCTCTATCATGTTCGATTAAAGCACATCTGTACTTACACTTCATCCTTTCGGCCATAGGTCCTCTGCAGGCGGCCGATATCCCGCAGCACAGTTCTTTGAAATCGATGTGGTCGTCCTGATTGACATCTAAAGCGTAGAAAAGTCTGCAAAAGCAAAAAAATATCAATTGGACTGATTACTTTTAGTGACTATTTTTTAAATGTCTGCCTTACACTTAGAAATTCTCAAGCATTTTACAACACTACTTACCCTCTACAAGCTCTGGTTGGTACAGGAGGACAAACCAATAAAAGTAGACAGTTGAAATCGAGATGTCCAGTTATGGAGGCGCTCTGTATGCTCCAAAAACACTTCTCCAATTCGCATATATCCTGTTCTTCCAAATGAGTTACGCCGGCCAGTGTTTGGTAGAATGTTGGAGTTTCAACTTCGGAACTTAACGACACGCAGGGATTCGATAAAAGCCTAAACAAAAGGAATCATTTGATAATGATATATAATGTAGATTACTTGTTATTATTTATTATTTATACATGTATATGGAGCGAAATTATTAAAGTAGTTGGCAATACTGTGTTAGAGGGTTTTAAAATTAGCGATTGGTACTGATGCTAAAACAAATTAAGGATTTTTTAGCAAATGATGTTAATTCATTGAAGTCAATTTTTTGGACTTTTCTAAGCTCTGCCACAATTTCCTTCTAGATTTATTACCTTTAAACACCTATCAGTAGTAGAATAACTAATAAATAACATAAAATAAGCTCAGTTAAGACTGACAAATCCACAAAATTTCAAATCAAATTCAAATGAATCGTCAAACAGAACTGTCAAGGATCCCAACCCTAGGGCCCTTGTCCGTCTACCTTGCATGAATACATGGATAGCATAATATACTCTGTTTTTTTTTTCTCAAGTAAGATTTCGACAGACGATGACAGAAGAAAAGCAGATGACGATTTATTTTACTAAAAAAAGTTTCTAACATTTTTTTAAGTTAACTATGGATGGGTTTAAATATAAATCCGTCATGCGTCGTCTCTTGTTGTTTTTAACCAGTTTTATTGGTTTATTTCAAAAATGACAGATCATATTTCAATTTAATTGCTTTGACGGAACGATGAACGACAAACGGACGCCGATGCGTATGAAGTCGCCTTTAGATTTTTGAGGCTTGTCAAAGTCTTGCCAAATTATAGGTTATAATGTTGTGTCAACTTATGTCAAATATCTGCGTTTTGGAAGATGATGCATTTTGATTCATGTTATTACGTGTGTTTTTTGTCTTTTTAAGTCAAGTGAAGGAAAAATCGAGGGAAAATTAACTGTAAACCCAGAGCCTAGAGCACAGTTTATAGTTAATACTCGCTGCCCAGGCAGAAAGTCTTATACACCAATAAAGTTACCATCAATAAAGTTTGTATACCATATTGTCGTAGATAAGTGCATCTCGTATATACTACAAGGATCGTACTAAATATATAGTACTGGAGTAGCTGTAAATTATCGACATCACACGATAGGTAAATAATCGATTTTAGAACTACAGAAAAATAATATCAAAAGGTACTGGTTTAAAAAAATTAAGATTAAAATTAATTAATCAACCTTTAAGGTATAAAGTTTGGCAAGTGTTATTATTAATAAAAATAGTTTGTTTTATTTATTCCTGTGGAATATTACAAATTTGTATTTGTACATAAGTTATATTGATAAATATAATAATAAACGCGAGAAGTTTCTTGAAGCTTGAAAGTAAGAAATAGTTCTTTTTTATATTTTTTTGGTATGTGGTGTTTTGTTCTTGTTTCTTTTGTATTAACACACCGTTTTTTTAATAAAATAACTCGATTACATTTATTCAGTTTTATACAGTTTTTTTCACAATATTTTGAAGTAATCACTTATCAATCAAATTTTAAATATTTTATTAATTTCCTGTTATGCGTTCCAGTTGTACCAACTTATTTCTTTTTAAAATGAAATAAACTACTATGAAATTAAAATGACAGACACAGCCATCACTGTCAAGGATCTTATCGTTGGACAGACTATACTCCTTCCTTAATATTTTTATTCAGTTACGAGCGCGTAACCATTTTAATACACTTATTCAATAAAATTAAAAAACCTTAAAATTAAATTCATTTATTTATTATCTCGTTTTGATTAATCCCACATTATGGAAAACGAATTTGAATCTCGTCAAAAAATACCTCAGTCGTTTTTGGACACTTAGCAGTATTCTTTAGAAAGCTTAAATTTTTAAAAGGAATTTGTAGTCGTCTGTGATATTTCATAATAGGATATGCAAAGCTATAAGTTTGAGAAACCCACTTATATAGAACATTGGTGGTGAAAATAAGATTAAAAATTTTTTGGCTTGCTAGGTTATATTTACTTAAGATTATACGATACCTATTTTTACCTAGTTATTTAATTAATTAGAAACGAAATATGGGGCTTCTGATTGGTGTCACGGTCACAGACTCGTCTTGGTGTTTATTATATCTTATCAGTCAGACGCACTGATCATATGTAATTTCCTACTTAATCTACTAAGAAATCATAAAACAGATTTATTCTTAAAATAACACCAGGTAAACATAATTTTTAATAACAATTTTAAGTTCATTTATAATAATACTGATAGTAACGTTTATAATAAAATAACATATAGAAAGTCGCTTTTAGATTTTGAAACTAGACATAACAATCACTGACGTAGCGAGGAAGTCGTGGACCTGTGTTCAAAAATTTTTTAGGCCCCTTGCCCCCACAATAAATATTTTTTTGTAATATTTTAATTTTATATTATTATAATATACCGGGTGCGTCTCAAAAGTGGCTCACCTCTATAACTTTTTTATTTTTTTCAGATAAAACAACGAGATTTGGTATGTTAGTATATGACATAAATTACGATTGATTAACATATTCAATTGTTTTCGGTTACTTCCGGTTTCACCGGAAATGACTACAACTTTTGGTTTTTAAATGGCACCCTCGGTATTTTTTTACTTTATTTAGTAGAAAATAACACTCTGAATCGAAAGACATATCATATGTCAACTTTTAACATTTTCGCATATGGTTTATTTGAAATTGTAACATGCGGTTTATAACGACAATTTGACTCGAATTAACAAGTGTTTGGTACTAAATTATTCGTAAAAAATGCTTTTTCCAAATATGCTAATGAGCCAACCTCGTTCCACTTGAAAAAATTGAGATATGATTAAAAACACGGTTTGGGCATCTTTTAACCGGTAGTCTATGCATGGCACTAGCACTTTAGATTGAATTTTAAAATACAATTTGTCTTTGAGTGACTACGTCAAAAGTTGACATATGATATGTCATTCGATTCAGAGTGTCATTTTCTATTGAATAAAGTAAAAAATGCCAAGGATACGATTTAAAAATCAAAAGATGTAGTAATTTCCGGTGAAACCGGAAGTGACCGAAAACAATTGAATGCGTCAATCAATCCCAATTTATGTCATATACTAACATACCAAAACTTGTTTTGTCTAAAAAAATAAAAAATGTATAGGGGTGAGCCACTTTTGAGACGCACCCGGTATATTTTTCTAAAAGAAAAGCAATTGCTATATTTCTAATATAAAACATTAAATAGGTAAAAAAAATAATTACTTTATTTACAAACATTATTTTGGAAATTTTTCTGATATGTCTTCAAGATATTTGTTCTGAATACAGAGGTTCTGAAGCATCTTTGCTGCCTATTGCAATTCTACATCGAAATAGTTGGTTTCCTATAAACCAGAAAATCTGCTGAATTAACTTATACCCAAATTTTTGTAAAATACATTAATTCGAAAAAATCTTCGTTTGTTTCGAGGACATTTTGATTATTTTTTTTTTCATCAAAATATAGTTTTGATCGTTTTATCTACCTTTTACTACTAAATCGTGCTGCAAATAAGTCAATTTTTTTTGTTGGTTTACAGTAATAAGGTCAATTTTTAAGCAAAAATAATAGTTGCTATAATGTGTTTATAACGACAATTTGACTCGTCGAAATACCAAGTATGTGGTACCAAATTATTCATAAAAAATGCTTTTTTCAAATATGCTAATGAGCAACCCTCATTCCATTTGAAAAATAGAGTCATCATTAAAATTACGATTTGCGCATCTTTTAAACGGCCACAAAAACTCACGAAAAACATTAGACGATCAAATATATTTTTCCGAGGCCCACTGTTTAAAAATTAATGGTTTTAACACACAGGGGACTCTAGATTGAATTTTAATACTATTTTTAAGATTTAAAAATCAAAAGTTGTAGTCATTTCCGGTGAAACAGGAAGTGACCGAAAGTAATTGAATACGTCAATCAATCCTAATTTATGCCATATACTGACATATCAAATCTCGTTTTTCTATCTAAAAAAAAAATAAAAAGTTACAGGGATGGGCCATTTTTGAAAAAAACACCCCGTATTAGTCGCAAAAATAATCTTCAACAATTTTAATATCTTTTTTTACAAGTTGTACAACAACTACGTACAATATGCTGATGGAAATTTACCGGGTGCCTTAAATCAGTTTGCTATTTTCATTCGTTCTCGTTATCGCACTTATCGCTTTGCAAAAAAATCGTGTCGCTCCGCTTACATATCTTGCGTACTTAAATCTAATTACTTATGAATTTATATCCAATGAAGTTTAAATTGAAAAAATATTAAGTACCCACTCGATGTACTAATTAGTAATGACTGTGGGACTATTAATCTGCGACAAATAAGACAACAAAGACACTTTTAAGGCATTAAAAAAAGAACGATCTTGGAAAATATTTGTGATAGAAATATTTCTCTGTAGTCTAGGAGGCAGTGAAGATTTTCGGTATTTATTTTCCCAGTCGGCAAACACCGATAGATTCGGTATGTTATTCTAAGCCAATTTCATATACAGGGTGATTCCATGCCATGGCACGTTAGACAATTACGGAGAGCCGGTGATAGGATTTTTTTGAAAATTTGGATTTTTGCATAAAGGCACCTGATCCATCTGTCTAAATTATTTTCAGCATTACATTGTTACCGCTTCACACTAAAAGTGGTGGCATCTTTGTTATTTTAAATGAAACACCCGGTATATTATTATATTTTTCGAAACTACTTCCATATCTCAAAATTTTTCTATTATACTAAGCTATTCCAATCTCTAATAGTTTTCGAGCATAAATTCGGCATATTGAAAGCTAAAATTTGGTTTAGAGGTTAAGGAAAGTCGACATATTCGATCTGACTAAATCAACTAACTGCTTCGATATCAAACAGGGAGGTCAGAAAAAATAATTATTTCCGTTTATTATAAAATTGTTCAAATTATTGTTTTTTTTTTAAATTCAAGCCTATGTATATTATTTAAAAAATCGAAACACAAGTAAAATTGCTTTTCAACGATATAATCATGTCCTATACCTAAATCTTC